GCTAATATTCCATTGTATATGTATCACTTCTTAATAAATTAAAAAATATTTTCAATTACAGTTGACATTTGATATTATATTAGTTTCGGGTGCACGGCATAGCGGTTGGACATTTATATAACTTTTGAGGAGATCCCCTGATAAGCCTAGTACCCACCGGACCATACATAGTTATTACAATACACATGAAACATATTTGTAATAGTTGTTTAAAAATTCTTTGCCTAATGATTCCCATGATTTCTGGGTCTGCTTTTTGGGTTTTTTTTGACGGCTTTCTGCCTGGTTTTGTATTTGCTGCTTTGTAGGCCTAGAAATTTTTGTTTGGATGCCAGGTGTGCATCTTACATTAAGTCATAGATTTGGTTTTATTCTTTTAAGGTGTGTTAGACCTTGTTCTGCCAGGCATTTCAGTTACTTATAGACCAGTTTGATCCTCTCAGGTTCTGTTCTAAAAGTCTTTAAGAAAAAGCTGGGTTTGTTTTTGCACTAGGGATAATTTGTCCTTATTACTCTGTCTAATGCCCCACGTATTAAAGTTGTTTCTACTCTGGCTGTTAGAAACAAAACCTGCTTCCACTCCCGTGCGGTCACTGGGAACCATTGGCCTACCGTTTTTTCATGAGAAACCTCGGGTCATTTCTTTTTCATGAGTGCTTAGGTACACATTCAGCCAGTCTCATCGGCATGTCCCCAGGGTTTTCTTTCCAGCATCTCTCTCAGCTCTGATTCTCTTCTTGCAAATGCTAGTCGCCTGGCCTCCACGGATCCTGGCTCAGTTCGGAGACACCGACACGCCCTGCTGGCGCGCTCCCTCTCCGAGTCACGGCCTGGAAGCAGCATCAGGCTGGGGGCGGGTCAGAGGGAGGGCGCCCTCGTTTCCCTTCTCTCGGTGGTCACAGCCCCGCACTGCTTGTTGTCCGATGTCTGAAAATTGTTGCTCCATGGATTTTGTCATTTTCTAGGTGTTCAAATCAAATGGTTAGTAAAAATCTCTGTTCCTCACCATGGCCCAAGTAGGAAGTGTTAATTTCTTTATTTTTAGAATGTATTGTTCATAGTCTTTTATTCTTTATCATGTTCTCTCAAATTAATATGAGACTCACTGAAGGGTAGAGATCATAGACTGCTTATCTGTGTATTTTCAGCGCCTCCAATGGAATTTGACATAGGGCCCTAAAAAGATAGCTAATGTTTATTCAGTGGCACACTGATAACAGTGCTTTCAAGTTTATCTTCTGATAACTGCAGTAAAGAAATTACTATGAAATTCATTTTATAGATAATGAGACTGAGGTACGGAGACACTAAGGAACTGGTTTAGGATCATACTGGTAGTGTCAGAATGAAGATACAAATTCAGCGACTGTGCTATATTGATTCAATACGTGTGCTCGCCATATCTTTTATTAAGAAAACCTTGACCGAAGAGTGAGATTTGAGGAAAAATGATCATGATGTATACAATGGTAATGAAACCATATAATTAAACACAAGCTCCCCCCCGGCCCCGCGCCCCCCTTCCCCCACCACCACAGACACAGAAAAGCCAGAGAGAAGACATAGGTCCCGATTGATTTAGGTGACTGTGGAAGGCCAGCAAATCTGGGCTTTAGCATCACTGCTGGGCACCCTTGTTCCGAAAGCCCTCCTGCTTCACTGCCGGGCGCCCCAAGGCTCAGAGAAAGCAGAGCCCTTCAGCAGCCAACTCCAGTGCCCCGGCAAAGCGCCTCTCCACAGGCAGGAGCAAACTCCAGGTTTTGCCACTGATTCAATTGCTGGATGTCAATAAATTAACAGATATAATTAAGCACCTATGATAAGAATGATAATCATATTAATAATACTCTGCTCTATGCTTTTAAAAATCAGATATCAAGTACATGCGAAGCCAAACTCCTTCCAGTGTCTAATCAAGGCTCTTCGTGAGCAGTAGCCGTGGTGTCTGCGTCCTGGGGAGAGCCTGCCTGGCTCCCGCTGAGCCCACGGTGCTCAAGTGTTTGCTTGCTTCGGGCTCCTCTGGAAAGCGTGATGAAACACAGACAACTGGGCTTCTTCTCCTCTGGCATTTCAGATACAGGCAGCCTGGGGTGGCACCTGGGAATTTTCATTTCTGGTGTGTTCCCAGGTGTTGCTGGTATGGGAACCAGATTTTGAGAATCAGTGTACAAAGAAACAATCATTTGGTTTGTTCCTGTTGCAGATGTTTCTCTAAAAAATATATAAATTAGCCCTGGCTGGGTGGCTCAGTCAGTTGGAGTGTCGTCCCATACACCAAAAGGTTGCAGGTTCAATTCCCAATCAGGGCACATGCCTGGGTTGTGGACCAGGTCCCCAGTTGGGGGTATGTGAGAGGCAACCAATCGATGTTTCTCTCTCACATTTATGTTTCTCTCCCTCTCTTCCCCTCTCTCTAAAAATAGATAAAATAAAAAAGAATAAATTTTCTTACATGTAATCAGTATTTATTGCTTATATGTGGCTGCATTTAATAGTCAATCCCTTATTACTATGAGATTGGTGTGGCCTTGTAGCAATTTGGTTTTCAGGTCTAGTGCTGTGTGCTGAGGAGCTCAGTTCCCCGTCCTGGTGCTCGCACGGGCCTGGGACCCCGGCCCCCGGCCGTGGAGGTTCTCAGATGACTCTGGCTCAGCGGCTGATTGCTGCAGTTCACAGGCTTGCTTCTCTCGCTCATCACAGCTTGGGGGCTTGGTTCTACTGCTGCGTAACCTTCTTCTTCTAGATATCCACGTGGCTCACACTCTTATCTCCTTCTAGTCTTTACTCAGAGGTGAAGAGATGGCTTTCTGCACTATGTTATTTAAAATTGAAACTTAATCCTCCTAACCCCCTACGTCCCTTCCTGCTTTATTTTTCTCCATAATGTTTAGCGCTGTGTAAGTTTTCATATAACTTCTCTCTAAAGTTCACTTATTGCATGTCTCTCCCTACTATAATTTAAATCCACTGGGGACATAGATTTTGTGTGTTCTGTCCAGTGGTACATTGTAGGCACTCAAGCAAAATTGGGTAAATAGATGGAAAAATGATTAATTTCTATTGACCTGTGTACATTAACACATTATATTCCTTGATGATGGACTTAGTTCATTTGCTCTATTATACAGACATTGTTAAAGTTATATTTATACTTTCCTTTGATCATTTTTTTTTTATCTGAATTTAGATGCTAAGTCTCTTGGTAAGATTCACTTTGGGCCACGCATCAAAAGGGACTGTGGCAATTTTCACCTTGTTGTTACCTAACATGGTTCCACACTGGGATTCACCCGTCTCTGTTTATCAGTCAGCAATAAAAACTTCTGCCAACAACTCTCATTCTATTTATGTGCTTGGTGCCCTTGCCTCGGACCCTGCCGGGTAAAACCCACCGTACTGGTCATTCCTGTCTCCTGTAAGCCCAGCCTGTCTTCACTACTTTACTCCTCCAATCAATGTTTTTAAACAGCAAACACACCTCTTGTTAGAAAACACCATTTTGTAATCCATGTTTTTATTTTTTTTCATATTACAATGCTGCTTTTATTCTTAGCCAACCTTCTTGAAAGTGTTGCTTATATTTGTATTCTTCATGTCTTTATCTGTGTACACTATTCTACCTTCTTTATTTTGACTTTACCCCCACAAATTGGTCATTCATGACCTGCTGCTACCAAATGCAACAGATACTTTTACTTCTTTTTTTTTGTCTTTACCTGAGGGGATGCTCATTGATTTTAGGGAGAAGGGAAGGGAGAGAAAGGGGGAGAGAAGCATCGATGTGAGAGAGAAACAGCCATCAGTTGCCTCTCATATGCACTTTGACCATGACTTTTCGGTTTACAGGAGGACGGTCCAACCAGTTGAGCCACACCGGCCAGGGGGACTTTTACTTCTTCCTTACGTTACTTGAAACATTTCCCCCCTTGTCTTTCATTTCCTTTCCTGATACCATACTCTCCTGGTTTTTCTTTCCTTTAGTCACCCATCCTTGGTCTAATTTGTGGGTCGTCTCCTTTTGTTATCCTCCTGGTGGTCTGAACCACTTCGATGACTTTAATTATAATTAACATATTTGGTGATCCATTAAACTATATTTCTAGCTCATATCTCTTTTCTAAGCTTCAAATAATAATTCAACTGACAACTTACAACCGAATGTCCCACAGAACTTCCAATTCAATGACGTCTGCCACTAACTTGCCCTTCTTCGGTTCCTTTTCTCCTTGCGCATTTAAACCACTCACTCAGGTTCATAGCCAGAGGCTTGATGTCATCCTGAGACTCTCCTCTGTTTCCTCCACTCCTCACATCACATTTCTTTGATCTGGCTAATAGATGTGAAAACTGATTCTCTCGAAATACTGGCGAGTGCCTAACAAAAAGTTAAAATTCTTTAATTTTTTTATCCTCACCTGAGGATATGTTTATTGATTTTAAAGAGAAAGAAGTGGAGGCAGGGAGAGAGAAAGAGAAACATTGATGTGAGAGAAAACATTGATCAGTTGCCTCTTGCACAAGCCCCGATTAGGGATAGACTCTGCAACCTAGGTACATGCCCTGACCAGGAATCGAATCTGCAAGCTTTTTGGTGTACAGGGTAAGGCCCCGACCAGTCGCGCCACCAGGCCAGGGAGAACATTCCTTTAATTTTACATGTCTCTTTATAAATAGTGATCCTTTGCTATTATTTCATTTAGAGTTGGAGACATGGAGACTCAGATGAATTGTGATATAGTCAGACTCACCTAGAAAATAAACTGATTTAGCCAAGACTAGATTTGTAGATTTCTGAACTTCCATTAGGTAAATTTTCATATTTTTCTAGTTTGTGGATTAGATTTTTTTCCAGACATAGACAGAATTTTCATTCAGTTTGGTGTGGTCGAGACCTGTGCTGTTGACGGAGTCTCAGGTTTCTGATGTACCCACGTGGCACTATATTCATGCAGAGTGAATGTTGTACATTAAGAACGTTATGTGATATGTTGTACTAAAGGCTAAGGTGAAGTTTTCCTTAGTATCAAGAATATGATTCTGTTCATTGCCTCTCTCAACACTTCTTTTACCTTTTCATTTCTCAAGCAGCAAATGAAAGGATTCAGAAGAGGGGTCACTACTGTAATGATCTCTCTGCTACCTTGTCAAAATCCAGTGAATAGTTCTGTTTGGGTCTCACATACACAAAGATGTTGCTCCCGTAGGCAATGGAGACAACAGTGATCGAGAAACGCAGGTAGAAAAAGCTTTCTGATGGCCTTGTGCTGAGGGGATGGGCAGGAGGGTAGAAATGATGTAGGTGTAGGACCCAGCAGTGAAGGCCAGGGAGCTGAGGATGACAAGGGCAGACAGGAGGAAGTCTACCTTCTCAATGACTCGAGTATCTATACAGGCCACTTGTAGGAGAGGGGCAATGTCACAGAAAAAATGATTCATTTCTTTGCCACAGTGAGGTAGCCTTGTTACCACCATGGTTGGTACCAGCACTGACAGGAGGGCCCCCGCCCAGCAGCCCAGAACCAGCAGGAGGCAGGCCCTGCTGCCCGGGAGCATGGGGTAGCGCAGGGGAGACAGATGGCCACTTGGCGGTCGAAGGGCGTCGCCACCAGGAGGATGAACTCCACTGTCCCCAGGAAAAAGAAGAAGTACGTGTGGGCGATGCAGCCGGCAAAGGATGCGGTTTTCTCCTCTCCTAGAAGGCAGGCTGGCCGCTTTGGGCTAACGACAGTAGTGTATACAATGTCCAGAAAGGACAGATTACAGAGGAAAAAGTACATCGGGGTTTGCAGGCGAATATCCGTCCATATTAGGGAGGCGATGATGACGTTCCCCACTGTGGTTAATGTGTAAGTGAAGGAGAGAACCACGAAGAGGAAGGCCTGAAGCTCCAGGGGCGCCGGGAAGGCCGTCCGCGTGAACTCGGTGACCGCGCTGCGGTTCCCCTGGCTGTTGCCGCGGGGTAGACGGGGCCTCCCTTCAGGAGCAGGAGAAGTCAGCCTAGGAGGTAGTTTAGCAAATACCTGTTGAGAATGTGTCGTGGAGGGTGCCTTCTATTGGAAGATGCCTGATGGGATATAGTCGTCAATCTGATAGTCCTGTCGGTGCAACCTTAGGAAAGGGGAAGTAGCGTTGAGACGAGACTTTCTGTAAAACGAAAGGATAAGACTGGATTTAAAAACAGCCTCTCATTTAAAGAAACTGTTCTTCTTTTCAGCTTGTCCAGCTTTATCCTCCCACTAAAATTTTGCTTAAGTACTGACACATACGTTAACTAGAACTTGCTATTGTTCTGAAGTTTACAGTCACTAAGAGGAAACCCTTTTGAATACGTTCTTGCCTTTTCTATAGCAAATTTTCTTTCACTTCAGCAGTGCCCATTAGAGACCTGCCATCAGTAAGAGACAAAGGTTCCTTTCTGGTTGCTGATATTTGGTGATCTCCACAGTTTCCCAGTTCCGAAGTCTTTTCCCAGCCTATACAGATGAGTGGAAACAAAGCAGGGATGTTTGGAAGGAACGATGTTTCCTGGTTCCTACTAATCACTTTAGCAGACACATCAGAGGGGAAAAATGGATATTGGTTATTAGATTTCACCCAGCGTCCCAAACCTAATTCCCATAAGTTCTATGACACCATACACATGTCACATATCTGCCTGCTGATTATTTGAGAGGACATGATACAATGTGCTAAAGTCAGAGAGGTACAAATTACACATAGGAAGGTAGAGTAGAGGGTATTCAGCTTACTTCATTTGCCTGATCCATTGAAATTATAAAGCTACATCAAGGCCATCCCATTTGTCGCTTATTCCAGTATCGGAGACAGGGTTCTTTTGCACAAAAGTCCCCATTTCAAGTTAAAACGGCTTGTTCTTTAACGCTTCCCTCAGTCCTCGCTTTGTCTAGATTTCGCTTCACTCCTTCTTAATGAATGAGCCACAATGGCTCGCCTCATTTCCCTTTGTCCAAGATAAAAGAGTTGCCTTTCTAGTTCATTTTTTAATTTGTAGTTTGACCTATTAAAAATACATTTCTCAGTGCAAAGAATTAGAAAATGTAAAACAAAATTATAATCTGTAATTAAACCTGTTGGAGATACAGTGACAAGCTTTTGTTGAGTATATTTCCAGGCTGTTTCAAAATTCAAATTATATACATAGACAGGATGGGGCAGAAGTAGGTTTACAGTTGTTCATACGGAAGATGATAGAATGATTAATAAATAGTAATACAAGAATAAACTTTCTGTTTTGCATACTCACAACTGTAAACCTATTTCTGTTTCACCCTGTATACCCCAAATCATGCTAACATTACTGTATAACTTTTCTTCTTTTTCTATTGCAAATATCATCTTTTCATGTCAATTAATACAAATACATACAATTTTTTTTTAAATAGCCTTTTTAAGATGTAATTGATACGCAAAGGACTGCACATATTTAGCAGGTACAGTTTGTGAGTTCGGGCCCCCGCAAGCCCCCATGATGCCACCACGGTCAGCGTACCGGACGCCTCAGACCCCTCCCAGTGTTTCCTTTGCACAGTCATTTGTGAGGGCCTATAATGGTCCTCTGGATGAAACCAGGATATATTTAGCCACTTGCTTCGTGTTTGTAATTTAAATCATCAACATTTCTTGCTTGTGGAGGTGATGATCAAATAAAAATTCTTACACATAGATCTTTGTTCAGTTGTCTTATTAATTCCTTAGAATACTCTTGTTTTCCAATAGGATGTTTGTTCTCACTATGTTATAACATAAAAATCCAAAACAGATTCAGTCTTAGAACATTAGAATTCACCTTACTAGAACGGGCGATAACGTTGTAAAGTCGGTTATAGGCACTTCCATGTCCCCGCCTCCGCTTCCCCCAGCCCTGAGGCAGTCCTTGTATATCACGCTGGAAGCTGGGTAGCTGATGCCTCAACAAGATTAAGCTTCTGTACTTAGTAAAAAAAACCTCCTTTTGTGTTCTGGACTTCAGTTTTCTTGTCTGAAAACATCACAATGTTGGACTATACATTTATAGGTTTATAGCTTTATTCTGTTGCCACCATTTACTTTTCACCTCCGTTCTCTACCTCAAAGATTCTAACTTCTTTTATTCCCTAGTAAACAGGCTTCCAAATGATTCTGTAAATTACTGCACAGAAGTGGCAAATCATGGATGCATATGCCAATTTAATAGCATATGAAAGTTCATGTGAACTTTCTGTCTGAGGCATTTTGCTGTCTGTTTTTTAAAAAATTATTTCCATGAGGTTGTTCAAAGGTAAATGCTCTTTCACATTTTAAAATTCAAGTATTAATTAGATTAATTTTGGATAGACAAACTGGATTCCAGTCCTAGGTTTTACCACTTCTGGCTCTGTCACATTAGATTAAATCCTTCAACTGACTCACAGCTTCTTTATTTAAGAAATGAAGGTAATCATTACATTCAAAATGAGCTTCTGTGGAGTTTAAATTAGAAAATATATGTGACAATATCTAATAGATATTTGCTAAAAGAAATATGGCTCCATTTAGGAGAACTGAGATGAACTTAAAGAAGATGAACAATTAGAGCTAATTATTTGAATAAATAACAAATTATGAAAAGTTCAATTTGTAACTGAGGAATATTTTTAATGTGTACCGAATCTAAATCCTCTGAGATTGACATTTGATTCCACTAAGAGTATTGACAGATCAGAGAGACTACACACAGAAGAATAAATTTAACAAAGTGATATATTAATAAATAAAACATTTGTCAAAAAATATACTTACATTTCAGCGATTATACACGATGCAGTATTTTCCCAACATATTCTGAATATGCAGGCATAATAAGAGGCTCAAACTTTGGTTAAGAATTAATTCTAAGCATTGTATTTTGAGTTTTTTTAAGCCAATTCTATTCCTATTTCTGGCTAACAGGAATAAATATCTCTTAAGGATAAAAATAAACCTTACTAAGTCACTGAACTGCCTAACCCCGGGAAAAGTCGCTCTGACTGGCATCCTTAACACATCCCTGTTCAGCCTCTGCTTGGAGGACTTCAGTGATGGACAATCACTATCTCGCTTTAGCACCGGCTGAATGAAGAGCTCCTGCTTTGAATGGCAGACCCTGTAACTTCCAAATACACATTCATGTACTGGCCTTATAGGTGAATTATTACCCTTTTTCATCAGAAGGGCCCCCAGATACCTCTATGATCTAGATACTCTCCTTGCCCCACAGCATCCCCGTAAGTTCAATGTAATGTGAATTCTAGAATCTATTTTGCAGCTAGAGAATGGAGTAGTTGCAAAGAACTTGAAAAAATTTCAGAAATAAGTCAGTCATATCTAGGCTAGAGTATATCTTCTTAAGTCCCATTCAAAAAATTTATCCTGGAAAATCATTGATTCTCAATTTTCAGGAATTTTTTCATTATAGTTTGTCTTTTTGGTTAATTCTGAATCACTTTAATCACTTAGTGACCAGGCTGTTTTTTTACATAGAATTTCATACAACTAACTCATCTACAGTGGCAGATGCCGAATCCTCCTTGTGGCATCGTCACCAGGTGGTGGCTCAGTGAAGGGGAGGCAGAATGGTTCTTGGTATTTTCTTCCACCTTCATGGTTTCTAAAATAATAATCTTTCCGTTGCAGCTTTTGCTAAATGGTCTTGAGTACTATGAATCACTGGATTAAAGGTGGCTTGAATTATTCTTAAAGCTACCCCTTCCTTTTCTCTTTAAAGTTTTTTTCTTGTATGAATTTTTTTCCCTAAGAGGATGGACTATTTTTTTTTTTTCATGAGCTTATTTGCCTTAGACATTTAGAGGAGAATAGCTCTTAGGGATATGGATCCAAAAAAGTTAATTAATAGTATTGTTATGAAAGAATTTTTATCCTGAGCTACCTACTCATGTTACAAAGTTCTAGAAGGTGCTAAATAGACCTATGCAGGGATCCTTGGGGGTTTCCTCAGATATTTTGCTCTATCCACTTATAAGGATACTTTAAAAATGTATGAGAAAACTAAAAATAGAAAACCTTCATCCTTCTTAAGTTATTGATACAATAGAAAATATTTTCCAACAGTATTCTGGAGTTTCAGATAACACGTAGTACCCCTGTCTTTATCAGCATCAGTGTTTTTGGCTTATCCTCACCGGAGGACATTTCTTCATTGCTTCTGGAGAGGGAAAGAGGGGGAGCCATCCATGCCAGAGAGAAGCACGATTGGGTGCCTTGCCGAACACACCCAGACTGGGGATTGAACTGCAGCCTGGCGTGTGCCCTGACCGGGTACTGAACCTGCAACCCTCCGGTTACGGGCCAACGCTCCGACCCGCTGAGCCACACCAGCCAGGCCAGGATCGATATTTAAAGTTTTCTGAAGTTCCCAATACAAACAAACTTCATAATGTTTCTCATCTCAGACGTTTCCCTGTTCAAGAAGGGGAGGCCTTGTATTGAACTCAGCTCCGTTCAACTGTTACTCCATTCTCCTGACTTACACACTTGCGAGCTTGCCATAGACGTCTATTTTTCCCATATATATTATACATAATATATATAATTGTCAATAAAAATTTCTTTAAACATTGAACGCTTAACTAAAACCACTGTGACTTTTGCTCGTCGCATGAACAGGACTTTCCCCGGCGGACGCCGATTCCGCGGGCGCGCCCCGGAGCCAGCGAACGGCGCGGCCTGCCCTGCCTGCCCGCAGGGCCTGCGTGGCCCTGGGGGCTGGCGCTAGTTTGTTCCCACTTTCCGCTTTCAAATCACTGTTCCTCGGTTTCTGATACAACTCCCTCGGGACTCCTACAACCTTGTAAGTGGTCTTCTTTTCTGCCAGTAGTTGCCTGAGTTTCAAGAAGGAACCAACTACCATAGAGGATACACACACACAAAGGTGGAGGTTTTAAAAATTGAATTTGAAAACATGAAAATCATTTGTGACACTTTGGGATAGACTTTTTCGGTGGTTCGCGGTCTGCTGTTTCGTCGAAAGCACTGCCCTCGTTGTGCCTTGTGGGGAACCTTAATGTCTTTGCAAACAGCTGAGAAAAGACACTAAAATTGGAATTTCTTAACCTTACTTCCCATTAATATCACCTCCTGTCCTCTTAATCATCAACTTTGTTATTATAACCTGGAAATTTTATTTTTTTCTGGAGAAGTTTTATTAAATTGCCTTCATGTTTTTCACCATTTTGTATTGATTTTTTAAAATGACCAGAGAGGTTCAATAACACCCCGTCAGGATAGTGCTTTTCGGAACCATCAAAATGCGCCCATTTCAAGTCCTTCCTTGCCAATCGGGAGCCGCGGGTGGGGATTTTCCTCTGCGTAACTGGGCGTCTCCTCCGGGAGCAGCACACCCTCGGTTTTCACCCAAAGCCGGACGCCCCGGCTGCGGCCGCCTCGCGGGGCCCGCGGCGCCCAGCGCGGCTGAGCTGCTCCCTGAGCGGCCGCCCGGGACCCGTTTTGCTTGAGCCATTTCACTCAGTGAAGTGTCTCCCTTCCTTGGGCATCGGACTGGGGACTCCCGGGGGCATTGACTTTTTGTTCACAATAGATAGAGATAGAGATAGAGACATAAAATTTCTTTTTAGCAGGACTGGTTGGACTGCAATGTTTTGGTAAAATGTAATATGGTAGAAGCAACCTTGCCGCTCTTTCTCAAGTTGTAGGCAAGAAGCAAGTTTGACTTAGGACGCATTTTGCCCTCGGCTAGGCAGACAATGACTCATCCACAAAAAGCAGTGATTCTGAAAAATTAAAACATTTCAGTTAATATCAGTACATGCTCATAAATACATGAAGATCAATCTATAGCTATGAAAGGAAAAATATAATCAAATTCTTACCAAGATCCCCGGTGTGAACATACTGCAGTAAATCTCTTTCTCTCCTGTGTTGACTACCCTGTGGGAGAATTAATAGTCATCTGTGTTTTCGGGGTGTCTGCGGCCTGGCCTTTCTCTTGTCTACGTGTACACAGTACGGGTACTGCTACAGAAGTCAGTTTCTGCCATGCAGGAATACATAACTCTGCTGGTGGGAATTCTTGGTCTTCCTGGGGATCAGTACCCACCTTTACATTCACTGTTTTAACGAAAGTTAAATGTCCCTGATGTTTATCTCAACTATGTTAACTAACCAGATGCCTGAATGGATTGTCCTCATTTCTACCCCGAGAAAGGACTGACTCCCGGCCCTCTTGTGTACCTTGTGCTCCTCACTGTGAGCTGAGACTTCTTGGGAGTGCTTGTGTCGGGGAGGAAAGTTTTCCATTCTTTCCTTCTAGGTTCTTTGGCTAATCTAATAATTAACTTGACATAAGATAGATTAATCGAAGAAAAAAATAATTTCATATGCATAGAATTAAAATATTTTTTAAAAAGGTTTTACTTATTTATTTTTAGAGATGGGGGAAGGAGAAACAAACATCAATGCGTGGTTGCTTCTTGTGCGCCCCCTACTGAGGACCTGGCCCACAACCCAGGCATGAGCCCTGCCTGGGAATCATACCGGTCACCCTTTGGTTCGTAAGCTGGCACTCAAGCCACTGAATCACACCAGCTGGGGCTAATTAAAAGATTTTATTAATTTAAAATTAATAAAACTATGAGACAAAAAATTTACTAAACGAATTTTGTAAAAAAGTTACAAAAAATAGATTTGTGAATTGACAGGACAAAGGGTTTGGGGCTGGAGTGCTGAATTAGTGAGTAACACGGTTTACACAGCCTTCTCAGCCCTAGATTTCTGCTCTCTGGTGATAAGCGTGACTTCTACCCTCCTGGTACAAGGAGAGTACTTTTAACAGGGAAATTTATTTCCTGCCCTCAGGGAGAACTAAGGCGCCTCAGCCTGTCTCTCTTGCACAGGCTGTTTCTCAAGAAAATAATTAATATTCCAAGGAATCCTACTTTGTGGTGACGTGTCCTCTCCCCTTCACTTGCTTCTTTACTTTGATTCTCTCCTGTGTGGGACTTACACTAGTTTTTCCTCTAATCTCATTTTTCTCTTACTCTAAACCAATTTGCTTTCTTTCTATTATTTTAAATTTTCTTTTTATTCTAAAAAGATACATAGTGAAAGTGAATGAATACTGAAAGTTCTGTTTAAAAAAAGAGAGGTTGCTTGCTTCTCTTTCTCTCCACTTTTTTTTCTTATAGGGAATTATTTTAAATACTTTTGACATTTTCTTCTAGTGTCGACTTCATATTTTTAGATAAAAACATATATCCTTTTAAAAATTTATCAACTTAACACATTATCTCTAAGATTTCTATTGTGAAGGATGAGTTTTAAGTTCTTTGCTATTTTTCTTTCTCTTCTGTCTGCTGTACAGAGATACAATTTTGGATTGAATAGTGTGACTTTTTATACTATGTTATGCTAATAATATTGTTCATTGTTGATCTTGGAAAGGTATTATAATTACCTCCCAGTTTTTGGAAAGACACTTTAAAAAAATATTAATTCTATGATTTTTCAGGACTTTTTTAAAAGAGCCATTTTAGCAAAATTCAGAGGAATGTACAAAGATTTGTCACCTATTTCCTGCTGCTGCACATGCATAGTCTCCCCCATTATCAACATCCCTCACCAAAATAAAGCATTTGTCACAGCTAATGAACCTGTATTGACACATCACTAGCGCACAGGCCCTGAGTTTCCTTCCGACTCCCCTCGGGTGATGTGTATTCTCTGGGTTTGGACAAATGTATAACGACATGTATCCATCATGATGGCGTCATACAAAGTATTTTACCTTCCTAAAAATCTGTGCTTTATTTATCACTTCCTCCTTTACCCTCCCTGCAACTACTGGTCTTTTACTGACTCCACAGATTTTCCTCTTCCACCATGCACTTAAGGTTTCTCCTTGTTTGTTTCCTGGCTTGGTAGCTCATTTCTTTTTAGCGGTGAATGATACTCCATTGTCTGGGTGAACCACAGTTTATTTATTCACTCACCTACTGAAGGAGATTTGGGTTGCCTCTGAGTTTTAGCAATTAGGAGTAAAATTTCCATAAACATCCATGTGAAGGTTTTTGTGTGAACTTAAGTTTTCAGTTCATTTGGGTAAATAGGATCACTATGGCCGGACCATATGGTAAAAGTAATAAGCAAGTAAAAAAATAATAGTTTGTAATAAACTGCCCCGCTATCTTCCAAAGTGACTGTATCAATTTCTAGAATTTTTCATTCAAACAATTTCCTATCTTTTGTTTGCTTATCTAGCCCCCAAATTCTACCACAGATTAATCAAACAATCTGTTGGTTCTATCCTTGCTTCTCCATTCACCAGACTATCTTACTGTGATATTCTGTACTGGTTGGTCTTGTTCCTACCTGAAATGATTAGTCTATATAGGTTCTTTTTACAGCTGTTGTTCACCATTACTTTGGGGCTTTTTAAAATTTACTTTACTTATGGTTAATCAATCAGTTTCCAGGATTGTGTGGCTGTCTTGTATAGCTGAAACTAACCCTCCAGTAACTTCTTAAAGATGTATGAGAGGTATATTTTTATAGTTTTTGCATTTCTGAAAGGCCTTTATTCTACCATTAGCCTTACTAATAATTTGGCTAGGTATATAATTCTAAATTAAAAAGAATTTTTTTCTGCAGAATTTTGAAACAATATTTTCACTGTATTTAGCATATTAGGAGCCTGTTATCACAATGCCACTTTTATTCCCAATCCTTTGTTTATGATTTTTCCACTTTTGAAGCATTTAGCCTGTGGGCCAGGTTTTGACGTTTCAAGGTGCCATGCCTATGTGGGCTTGGTTCCACTGTGAGCTTCCCTGAGGTATCTCGGGGCTCCTTTTCCCTACTTGTTATTGAGCAAGACACTAACATTCCGTCTGAAACGTGAGGGACAGGACCTCCTGACTGAGTGTCAGTTCATGCAATAAGGCAGCGGGTTTACTTTTACAGAATATGGGCTTTTAGTCACGACTCTCTTCAGGCTGTTTGGAGGGGGTATTTAATTTCTCAAAAAAAGAGTCCTCAGATCCTCCTTAAAAAGTCTGTGGTGGCTGCTGGAATTAGGGGAGCAGGAGACGAATTATCCTGATAAATATGCAGACTTTCACCTAATTCCATTGTTTTCAGCCTTTCTCCTCATGTGGCATCTGGTCATTTTGAGTTTAAAAGAAAGGCAGCCCCTGTTTCAGCGTCACTGCCCACTGCCTTCCTCTGTGCTAGCTATTCCCATGGCGGGGGCTTCTCCTCTTGAAATTTTCCAGAGACAAAGCCTCTGGTCTATAGTTACAGGGGATCAAACGGAAATCTTCCTATCATCTGTCATTCCTCCAGTCATGTTAAGGATGGACGTTGTCTTTATATTTTAAGATTTCCTGAGTCGATCAAGACGCTTCTCACAGTGATCTCCCTCTGTAGGCACGTGCATCTTAGCTTACGATAATTACGTTCTGTAACATCAGTAAAATAGGTCTCTGTCCTCTAAATATTGTTATAGTCTCTTACCACTGTAAAGAAATCATTCTTTCATCTTTTAGCTTCCATTATTTGTTTTTTTCTTTTAAAAAGTTATTTAGCCCTGGTTGACAGCTCAGTTGATTAGAGTGTCATCCCAATGCATCAAGGTTGGAGGTTCTGTCCCCGGTCAGAGGTTTTGTCCCACGTACAAAAATCAACAGTGAGTGCATAAATAAGTGGAAAAACAAATCAACTTTGCTCTCTCTCTCTTTCTCTTAAATCAATAAGTAAAATTTTAAAAATTATTCAAATACAGTTGACATTTAATATTATTTTATATTAATTTCAGGTGTACAACATAGTAATTAGGCATTTACATGATTTACAAAGTAACCCTTCCTCTAATTCCATTACCTACCAGAAGCCATATCTCGTTATTGTAATGTTATATACTGTATTTCCTGTGCTGCACTTTACATCCCTGTGACTTTTTTGTAACTACCAATTTTTACTTCTTAATTTTGTCGCCCAAACCCCTGACTCCCTCCGATAAGTACTTTAGATTACACATACAAGTAAAATTATATGGAATTTGTCTTTCTCTGATGCGATTATTTCACTTCTTGTAATACCTTCTGGATCCATCCATGTCATTGCAAATGGTAAAATTATATTCTTTTTATGGCTGAGTAATATTCCATGTTATATATGTACCACATCTTTACCCACCTGTCTGATGATGGCACTGGGGTTGCTTCCATATCTTGGCTAAAATAAATAATACTGCAATAAACACAGGGGTGCACGTATCTTTTTGAATTTGTACTTTGTGTTTCTTTGGATAAATATCCAGAAGTGGAGTTGTTAAGACAAAAAGTAGTTAAATTTTAATTTTTGAGAAATGTCCATACTCTTTTCGATAATGATTACAGCAATTTGCAGTTTCATCAACAATGCATGAGAATTCCCCTTTCTCTACATCCTGGCCAACACTTACTTGTTGATTTATTGATCAGCCTTTCTGGAAGATGTGAGGTA